GAGCAGGTGGTCAAGGGGCTCTGGAAATACGCCCAAGCCTGAGGAAGGGTCAGGGTAATCTGTCCACAGCCAGGGCCCCCAAGGCTCGACAGTAGGTGATCTGGAGAACATGGGCTGGCTTCACAAGCGCGTAATGCCGCAGGCCCTGCATTTGGTTCAAGGCCTCTGCTGCGGTTACGATGTCACAGTTCCCAATAACTGCGGGCAGGAGCCATGTACTCTTGTTTTGCTCTGGGACCTTCCTAGTATGTAGCCGGACCACCCAGAAGATGGCAAGTGCACTAGGGCTCTGGCAGGGCTGGGGACACTGCCCAGGACATTTTGGAGAGAGGGAGGAAGGGAAGTTCGGAGGCCTTACTCAGGTGGAAACCGCCACAGTACAGAACAATCTGCTTCTACCTGGACGATCCCAGGAAAACAGGTGAAGGAGACAGACAGCCACGCTGGGCTCAGCAAATCTTAACAGTGGTCACTGTGACAACTGCCATCCACAGTCGTATAAGCTGGTTCTAACCTGTGGGCCATATACCTTGAGCGAGAATAAGAGACAATCACCAAAGCAACGGTGGCACTGCTTACAGCAAAATCTCAAGGGGACTAGACATTGCCTCACAAAATAACCCGTAGATCTTGCTAATGTGTGTTCCTAGACCCTGTGGTCTCTGCCAACCCTGATACCAGATGGTGCCGCCTCAAAGACACAGACAAGTGGGTGACACCCGGTCCATGCTCAGGGTAGCTCTCGAAATGGAGCTGTGCTCTGGCAGTCTTTCCCACATATACCAGACTCGCCAGAAGGGTTGGGAGCCCAGAAAAGGCTTAGGGGTCTTCACTCGCTTTCAGCCGACAGGAACAGGCAACAGTCACCACCAGCGAAGGACACGGGAGGTCCCTGCTCAGGCCTCTAAGCCACCTCGAACTTCTAAGCCCAACTCCTGGAAGGAGCAGAGTCAATCAGAATATCTCATGCTTGAAAAGGTTCGTTAGGTGAAGCCTGAGTTACTAGCTAATCTCCTTTGACAAATAAGGCCAAGTCTACCTACCCCAGGGCCTGGTGGCACACCAAACCACAGGGCACAGCCTGCAGAAGTTCCACGGGAAACCACACAGGAGAAACGACCCAGTTCCCTCAACAAAAACTGACAGAAAAGTAGTGGAGATCAGGAGGAGAAGGGACAGTAGTGACAATGGCCACCACTACTGGACAGGTCAACCACAGCCTCATTTGGGTTCTGATCTATGTGAACTATCAACAAAAGCAAGTTGGTAATTAGGGAAATGGGGATATAAGCTAGGTATTTCATGGTGCAAGACAGCTGAGCTGCACACAGTAAAGCATGCATTTGATCCCAGCACTAGGGAGGCAGAGGCAGGTGGATCTCTGTGAGTTCAAGGCCAGCCTGGTCTTCAGAGTGAGTTCCAGGACAGTACGAGATACACAGTTGAGACCCTTGTCTCAGGGGAAAAAAAAATTTGCTGACTTTTTGAAATCTCAGATGTGACAGTCTCATATGGCTCAGCTTTTCAAGAGATGTACAAAGACTGTTCTCGAGGACAGGCTGTGATGCCCAGTCCTGGTGGGCAATGGGGACATGCATGATTCCAGCCTCACCCGAGGTCCTGTGATGTGTGAGGTGAGAGGTCCTGTGCTGGGCGCAGGAGGTGCTGTCAACCAACAAGTAAAGAAGTGGTTTATAGTTTTGAGTTCTGTTTTCTAGGACTGAAACCAAGGTTTGAAGGTTGATCCACGGTCACTTCCCACTGCCAGAGCACTCCCGGGTTTTGGAGACAGTCAGCAAGGCTGCTGGGCCTACTGGGCTGCACCTCTCCAGGCCACAGAGCCCTCCTCCTGCCACTCCTGCTGTCCCTGTCACACCCCCTGCTCTGGGACACCCTCTCTGGACATTCTCTTCTCCACAATGGGGCTTCCTGCTTCACCCCGGCTGAAACTGACAGACACAGGGTGACATTCCTTCACAGCAGCTAGGTGGCTTTGTGGCAGCCCTTTAGACCCAAATTCTAGAAATCACCCATACATATCCTCTATTCCTTCTCACTGTGTCATCTCTTGGATCTTCTGAGGCACAAAGGCCTGTGAGGGCCTGGGCAACAGTGGCACCTAGAAGCAAAGCCATGCCCTCCTGCCTCCTGCCATCTCAACCTCGGTCATAAAAACTGGCACCATCAGCCCAGCCCCACCCAGCTCCTCAACCCAGCTTTTCTTTTTAAAGATTTGTTTATTTTTATGTGTATGACTGTATGGCCTACATGCCTGTGCCTGCAGAGGTCAGAGAGGGAGGTCAGATTTTCTGGAACTGGAGTTACAGACAGTTATGATGTATTAAGGGCGCTGAGAACAGAACCCAGGTCCTCTGAAAGAACAACGGTATTCTTAAGCACGGGACCATCTATCCAGCCCTCAACCCTAGGCTTCCTTTCTTACACTGTGGCTCACTGGGTGCACTGGGAGGGAGGGTACTGGGGAAAGTAGCATCTCAGCATGAACACCAGCCACACTGGAATGGCTTAGGAAAGAACAAGCAACGAGGCCTTACCAACACCCAAATTTTCTCTAGAAAGGTACTGTGCAATTCTAACCACTCCAGCAAGAAATCCTGAACATTCATTGTTATTGTCTAAAGTCTGCGCCTGAACTGCAAAGAATATGTTCTCAGTTATGTATCGGGTATCTGCTGAGGAGACTGGGCCTCAGCCTGGCCAGAAATGGCCCTGGCAACATCGGTGTACTATGAATTCACTCATATTCCTGGGTGAATGACCTCATTAGCTAGGGAGAGGAAGCCCTGTTCCTTCCCCTTGCCCCTTCCACCTGCCAGACCAGTGTAGAAGCCAGGAGGCTGGCTGGGAAATGGTTTCCTTCCTTGTGCACACCATCCCATCTCAGCCCCACACTAGCAGTAGCCAAGCATGTGGCCTAGGGCTGGTTGGTCTTGTCTTTAATTCCAGCACTCAGCTGCAAAGGCAGGTGGATCTCTAATGAGTTCAAGGCCATCCTGGTCTACATACCAAGTTCTAGGCCAGTCAGATCTACACAGTAAGACCCTGACAAATACATGGCTTAAAAAAAAACAAGGCCAGGGAAACAATGCAGCTACCAGGGTCTAAACAGCAGAAGTGGGGAGGAAGCCTAGGAGGAAGTCTAGGAGGAAGATAAATGTTGATTTTCCCTATAGATATTTTGGGGTTCCAAGCTCTAGGAGTGGAAAGCTCAGGCTCCCGGGATGCAAGAATACTGACAGGCCCTGCTCTGAGCAGCCCCAAGTACCCCCAACACCAACAAGCTCTCACCCTCCATAACCTGACTTGCTGTATAGACAGAGAATGAGGAATAACTTCGTCTCCTTTAGTTTCTTCTCCAACCCCCACCCCACAAAAAGAAAAAAATAAGAGAAGATCCAAACTACAGGGAGAGAGGGAAGGACATGAAACTGGCCTTCCTAAACGAGGGGTCACTTAAGGCCACATGCAGGCCTAGAAAGATCTATAGAGTAGAGGGGTCTATGGCAGTACCCACTGCCTCAAGTCAGATGGAGGGGAATGAGCAAGAAGAGAGACCTTGAATTCACTTTTCCTCGCTCCAACACACACTCAGCACTGTCCTCTCTAAGAAGGACAGCCTCCTGGAAGCATCTCCCAGCCGGGAGCCTGGATCCACTCATACCACTTCCTCCCAACTTTCCCAACAGGCAAGGGGTGACCACAGTGGCATGAACTGCCTTTTTTTTTTTTTTTTTAATGAATGAATACAAAGAAAGACACAGAGGCACTGTCTCGGGAAGGACAGGTTTTCAGTTTTCCAGAGCCACCCACATTCTCTCCCATTCACACAAAGAGGAGGAAGAAGGGAAATGAGGGGGAAATGCCGAAATAGTGGAGAGGAAAACACACACACATACACACACACACACACACATAAAGGTTTGTTAGCCTCTCATTACAAGTTGGTTGGGCACAATGTAAACACACTTCTGCCTTGCTTAATCACAGAGTACCGGCCCGTTTAGGTTTCAAAGGCGGCGGTAAATTGGGCGTAGCTGAGTGGAGGCTAAAAATTAACCAGCCATCTCTGTTTCAATTTGTACGAAAACAAAAGTGGAAAGAAATTATGAAAAGAAAAAGAAAAATGGGGCTGGGGGGTAGGCAGGCAAGGCCAGAGCACTAAACTAGCCCAGGCCAGACACAGGGCTATACTAGAAGAGCAAAGGCAGCTAGGAAACACTTAGGGCACAGAAAGGGAGAGGTTTTTACAGGTTTCCTTTAAGACTTCTTCTATAGCAAGCTGTTTCCTGGCAGGCCTGCTCCCCACAAAGCCCCTCTGCTCCAGAGGGGCCCAGGGCCACTGGTACCACGGTGTGCATCAGTCCCGGAGCAGGGAGCTTAAGGAGCCTCACTGTGTTCTTTCCCTAATAAACAAACCCAGCACAGCAGCTCCCACCCCAGAACCATCCCACTGCTGGTGCGCCTCTTCTGGGTCCCAAATGCCAGATTCCACATTTCCCTCTCTCCTGGACTTGCTGACAGCCACCTCCCCCAAACCCAGCCTTTCCTGGGATCCTGAGATGAAGTGAAGCTACACACCAGCCTGCGCCTTCTCTCAGCCCCTAGCGCTTCCGTCTCATTTTCTGTATCAGCTGTGGTTAGAGAAGATGTTATCATCTTCATCTCCAACTCTTACCATCATGGGTAATTATGAGACATCTTGGCCCTGTCCTAAAACTGACAGCATCTTCACTTTAGGAAAGACGAGATGCACAAATTGGGTGTCATGGCAAGAGAGGAGAGGAGAAAGAGCAAAGGGGTGGGGGCAAAGAGGAAGAGGATGGAAAAGTGTGAGGGGCACCACATATGAAGCCGAGGCCAGTAGGACAAGCTGCCAGGGAGGCCCAGAGCAGTACATTTCAGAAACAGGAAGAACAATAAACAGAACAAATGCCAGCAAGTGAAATAAAACTGGGGAGGGGGTGTTGAAAACAACCTACCCGGAGTGTGGACAAAGTAAGCCAGATAAAGGTCCAGTTCTTTGATTGTGACTCCAATGTGATGTGGCTGGACGCACAGGCCGGGGTTCGAGCACTGGGGCGACTTGTAGAGCCGCTCCCCATCAGTACTTTCCAAGGGGATCCCCTTAAACAAAATCACCATGACCAGGTCCAGCCGCCACACCTTGTCAGCCTGGCGCAGGCAGTCAATCCGCCGGATCTTGCCCTTCTGGTCGGGGTTGGAGAGCACGCAGCAGGGGGGCTTCTTGCCGGTGATGGTCAGCACAAAGTCCTCTCGGAACTCGGGCCGGATGTCTTTGCGCAGCTTGGCCAACAGCCGGGATGCCCACTTCTGCTTGATCTCAGGCTTCTCGCCCAGCAGCTCGTCCTTCACCGCGCGCTCCTCGTCCTTTGACATCCGCTTCTCGTGCTTCTTGAAGTACTTGCGCTTCCGCGCCTGTAGGTTGAACCAGGTGTAGGAGAAGGCTCGGACGTGAGGCAGCAGCGCCTCGATGAACGGGTGGAACTCATCCTGCAGGCGGCAAGCCGGGAGCATGCGGGGCGAGGGAGGACGGGAGGAGGGGAAGACGGGATGAGGGGGAAAGAGAGAAGGAGAAACACAGCGTTAGAAGGGGGCACTAGGAAAACCGCCTTCTCCTCCTTCTCCCTCCCCCCAGCAATTTTCTCTTGAGATTGTTCTACTGAAGTGTGGTTTGAAGCCACCACCAGTTTCGCAAGCCACTTGCTCCCATCTCAGCCTCAGCAACCAAACAAGAGGCAGGCACGGGAGCCTGTCCACACACCTATTCTCTCTCTCTCTCTCTCTCTCTCTCTCTCTCTCCCTCCATACACACACACACACACACACACACACACACACACACGTGCACACAGACAATGTTGCTACACACACCACGGGCTTGCTGGTACCCCCCCCCAAGTTCTGTCGCACCCATGACATCTCCATGTTCTAAGGCAGCTGTGAACTAGGGTCAGCTGGTCCCAGCCCAGTGTCCGGCTGCCTGAGGGTGCAGAAGGAAGGGCAAGCAAGAGCTGCCTTGCTGCCTTCTGTCCTCCTGTCCGGACTGGCCAATGTTTGGCTGCCCCCCTGAGAAGACAGAAAATGCCATCTGAGATGGAGAAAGAGGGTTTGGGTCCCCTCTCACCAGGCTGCTTGCATTTCTTTCCTTCAGATCCAGTTGGAACATCCACCCCAGCATTTTTTAAAATCAGATCTAAATCCTAAATATGTGGTTTCAGCTTTGTTATCGGCACCGATACTAACGTTAATCACAGTAATAATGAACAAAACACTTCTTGTTAGCCCAAATAAGGTGCTTTTCTCAGCCACATTAGGGTTAAAAGCTACATGGGTCGTCTTGCGGCCCCTTCCCCAATCTCCCACAACCCCTTCACCCTCAATCAGGTGACAGAGGGCTGGGCTCTCTCAGTTTTTTTTTCCCTTTTGTTTTGTTTTGGTTTTTGGTTTTTTGCTTGTTTGCTTGTTTGAAGTTTAAATAATAATTGATTTCTTTTTACAAAAATAAAGCTGGAAAAAATCAAATAATTACCATCGATGTGAAGCACCCGGCAAAGCCAACGCCTGATTCTGAGATTCTGGACTCAACAGAGTTATGAGTTAGGGGCGGTGGGACTAGGGGAGGAGGAGGAGCAGGGGAGGAAGGTAAATGTTTTAAAGGGGGTTATTATTGGTGTTCTGGGGAATAGGGGCCGGGCTTGGGTGGATTCTCAAACCCTTCCCCCTCCACCCCCCACGCTCCATTGCACAGAGGGGGAAATTAATTTTTTTAAGGAGTAAAAAGAAAGAAAGGTCAGGGATGGCGATCAGAGAGGGAGCGAGGTGGCTTCTTACACACACCAGGTAAACAAAAGCCAACAAATTGTTTCAATTTCTTCCCCTGTGCATCCTCTTGCAGTTTAAAATAAAAGAGCAAAAAATATGCAAAATTAAAGATCAAAACCAACCTCCTACCACCACCACCCCACGTTCACCCACGACAACGTACCCTACCCCACCCCCACCCCCGAAAAACAAAAACAAAAACCAGGAGGGAAAAAGCAGCAGCTGAAGAAAAGGCTTTCGGCTTTGGCAGCGGCACAAGGGTGTAAACTTCGAGCTGCTCCCTCCACCCGACCAGAGGAAGAGGGGGAGCTCGCAGATTCTCGGGAAGAGGACGAGTTCTGACCGGCTGCAGACCGTTGCTGGCAGACGCAGCAAAAGGGAGAGAGGGAGCCAGGGAGGGAGGGAAGGAAGAGGGGGAGGGAGAGAGCGAGGATCTCAGGAAGACGGGGATGGGATGGGGTGTGCGATGGTGCGCATGTGAGCGCGCGCGCGCGCGCGCGGGAGAGGGTGTGTGTGCACCAGCACCGCTAGGGTGGGGGGGTTGTGGCTTCTTTTTTCTCTCAAACTCCCCCCTCCCCGTTCATGCTCAATCCCCATCCATTTGTGTGTGCCAAGTCAGTAAAAGAGGGGGAGGGAGACAGCCAGAGGAAAGGAGAGAGAAAGAGAGGGAGCGAGGGAAAGGGAGAGGGAGGGAGGGAGGGAGGGAGGGAGGGAGGGAGGGACAAAGGGAGAGAGAGGGGGGGAGAGGGGGGCAGGGGCAGGGAGAAAAAGGGAGAGAGAGAGAGAGAGAGGGAGAGAGGGGGAGAGGGGGAGAGGGAGAGAGAGAGAGAGAGAGAGAGAGAGAGAGAGAGAGAGAGAGAACGCGAGCCCGAAAGAGAGTGGGGGGGAATCCACCTATTTGGCAAAGAGGCATCCTCGTGCAGCCAATGGCTGAGTCCAAGGGGAGGAGGTAGCTGGGCTAGCTGAGAGGGTGGGGAGAGCCCCCCGGCAGTTGGAGACCAAAAACAATTTGCCCAATCGACAAGTTCACGTCTAATGAACAAGCAAAAGCAAAGTCCAGCAGTTATGAATTTTTCATCCCAGGCGCCCACTTGGGTCTGTTTGGCAGCAGTCACCCAACAAACTTGGGGGGTGGGAACACTAGGATTGAGGAAGATGCGGACTTTTTTTAAGCCAGAAAATAAATAAATAAAGGTCTGACTCCTGGCGGGCTGGCGGCTGGGCGGGAGCCCCAGAAGGCCTTGGGGAAGCAGCTGCGCCTTCTCTGTGTTCTGCTTTCAGTCTCTCTCAGGCCAGCACACTCTCTGGTTCTAGATTTTTTTTTTAGATTTTTTTTTTTTTTATGGAGCACAGTGGGGCGAGTGGACATTTTCTCCTCCACTCTGTGCACCAGCCTACAGAACTCTGAATAGGAGAAAGAGCTCGGAAAGTGTCCGTGCCAAGCAGCACAGCACAGAATGTTGGCTGGGTGTTGCCACCTCTTGGTCCCTCAGACCCTGCTGCCTGTAGGACTCAGGAGCACTCCCAAACAAGGGGAGGAGGAACCCTGTGCCTCCTTGCCTTCTCTTCAGCCCCCAGTAAGCTCACAGCCTCCCTCGGCCCACACCCAGCCACGCATACTCCATTAGTGGTGACGGGAGATGCCAACGCAATGCAGCTCGGCTCGTGAAGCTGCAAGTTTATTAAAATAGCCTCCTGTCACAGCGCTCCTCTGGCAAGCACCACACGCAGCTACAAACACAACAGCCAGCCCCTGGGAGAAGTGACAGAGGCAGAAAGCCGGGCACTACTTCCCTGGCACTACCACCTCCCACCCTCTGCAATTCCTCCTTTCTCCAGCTCTGCCCTGGCTACTGACACGGGGGTAGCTTTCTTACCTGTCCCTCAACAGACTAAAATGCAAGGTGCAAAAGCATATAAACCCAAGAAGCCTGGATGGAGAGAAGGCTTGAGAAAAGATATGGCAAAACAGAAGGCAAGGGCCTTCGGAAACCAGAGGCATGAGAGGTGATGCCAGAGAAGTCCTTTCTCCAGGTCCCCAACTAGGCACTTCCTGGGGGTGGGGGGCACCTCCAGGAGGACTCTCCAGAAAGAGCTCTGGGAAGCTGAGTTAGGCCTCCGGGAAAGCAAAAGGAAGGCAGGAAACGAAAGGGAGAGCCGAGGTAGGATATCGACAGACTGCCGAGTGACCAGTGCTCAGTCCCCGCAGACACCCTCTCTGCAGGCTCAACCCGAAGTTGGCACAGGGAAAAAGGTCACTGCTCACTCGTGCCCCTTTCCTCACCAGCTGAAACCCTGTGCTCTGTGGCCTTCTGCTCAATAGCAAAGAGGCCCCTGGAAGAACGCCTGGACTGTGCCCAAACAAAAGACCCCCCCCCGACAATGGGAGGTGCCATCCAGCACCTGGGACCCCAAACCCTAAATGGCCAACTCCAGCGGAGTGAGCTCCCAGCTGACCCGAGAGACGCGGTTAGAGAGAACAGTGCAGGAGGCAGGTGCCATCACAGACAGGCCTCTTAGGGTGGTGTTCAATAATTCACGTCCTGTGAATAACAGGCTTTGGTCCAACCAGTCAAGGATGCTAGCTTAGCGCCTAGTGACATAAGGGACCGAAGGAACACTGCCTTCTCCACCTTGAGGAAGCAATTTCACTTTCTAAAGTCAAGATGAGGTCATAAAAGCTGCAAGTGAGTCTGCATTTGGCTGTCCAAAGGGTGGTGGGGATGTTGTTGCTATTCTGATTATGATTTAAATATTAAAAAGGAAATGGCCAATACTGTTCTGTGGCAAATCCTGGTCTGTTCCTTTCCAGGACTACAGTGTGGTGGGACAACCCAGCTGAAAGTCTGCGTTGGGCAGCGACAGTTCCATGGCTAGTGGAAAATCCGCAGGCATTAGGGACAGTGTGAGAGCCAGTCTCTGAAGAACTGAGGAAGGAAAGAGTCAAAGGTCCCTGGGTGCTGAGAGTGACAGCACCAAGCAGCGTCTGCAGGAAGCCTCTGAGACTGGCAGGACAGCAACAGGCCCTTCCTCATGAATCTGGAAGGGAGAACAATTGTCAACTGTCTTTCTCCTAGCTGGGGGCTATAACCTTGAAGGTAAGCAGAAGGTCATTGGGCAGAGTCTCCTGCCTGCTGTGACTTTGCCAGCAGAAACTGCTTCCTGTAAGCAGGCCATCCCAGTAGATAAAACAGCTCTTCCCCCCCCCCCCGTGTGTGTGTGTATGTGTGTGTGTGCTTGCCCCTAGACTCCCAAACAAAAGAGAACCTTCCCCTTTTCGCTAGGAGACAATCTAAGCACCAGGCACCCTTTGGAAGATTACCTGTCCCTGTCCCAACTCCTTCCTTTCCCAGCCCACCCTCCTTCTGAAGGTCACACTCCTGCACCCTGATGCACCAGACCCAAGCCAAGACTGGAAAATTATTGACGATTTAAGATGCTTCCAGGTCTGATTTCAAACAGAAATGATGGTTCAAGGGTTGGAAAGAGCAAATGTGGGAACCTACAGATTGCTGGAGAAGAGAAGAAAGGAAGCGAGAAAGAAAATGAAAGGAAAAAAATCAACCAAAGGAAAAGGAAGCAGGAATGCTTAGAGCAACAGGGGAAGGCCAGAGAGAAGGGGGAGTTTGGAAAGTACTTTCTCCATTTGCAAGAGAAGTCAAGACACCAGAGATAACACTTTCGAGAAAGCAACATGGATTTTTGATTTTGGAAGAGAAAAATTTAACTTCATGAAAGAAAGGCCTCTCTTACTTTTGAGAAGATAAAACTTGGTGAAAACACAGGAGTTTCTATTGAGATGCTGCTCTGATGCCCATCCAGCCACCATGGAGAGAGATGTGTGTCCCCCCACATCCCAAAGATTAAGCAGGCCACAGAAACAGAAACACAAGCGGAGGAAAAGAAAGAGAGGCAGAGGGCAAACCCAGAGCAGGGAGCTGGCTGGAAGCTGCAAAAAAAGTCAAAGACAAAGAGAAAGGAAAGAACGAATAAGCAAGAAAATAGAGAAGGGCTCCAAGACAAGAGGAAAAAAGAAAGAAAACTAAGAAAAATGGTGGCTTCCAGGGGTGGAAACCATGAGGCTCTCAGAGCAGTCCTGTGAGCTGTGAAGCCTTGTGGGTTATTTGAGGAAAATAGAGAACACACCCAGTCCTTTACTTACATGTACAGTATTAAAAATCCTTCCAGGAAACAAAATATTTCCCAAAACTGATACAGATTTTGTAACTGGCCTTTGCCTCCCAGTAGTGGGGTTAATAAGCACAAGAGACCTTGTTTTAAACACCCAGCCATGGGTAGGTCTCTTTACCTTTAAAAACAAAATCTTATTTGTCTCCAAACTGCTGGCTTCTGGGCCTAGAACATTCTCTCAGATCCTGGGCACCACGGCCCATACTTGTTAAGCACTCGCAGTTTAAGCCCATGGCTCTGCTCTAAGGAGAAAGCATCAGATATTCTGGGGTCCATTTTCCTACCTGCAGAGTAGGTCAGGAAAGGCATAGGAAATTAGAAAGGCCACAAATAGAGGCCCAGTGAGTTTGCCTAATTCCTGGCATTTATAATTCTGCCTTGGGTCTGGGCTGAAAGGGGACAGCTTCATACATAACCACAACCACTACCAACACACACACACACACACACACACCTCCCATCTTGTCAGATCTGTGCTCCTCCCTCAGAAGGCTAGAAGAGGCCGTGGGCAGACACCGTGGACCTCAGGCCGCAGCAAAGGAAGAGACCGGGCTGCTTGTCCTAGGGGTGGGTGGGGCCTCCCTCTCTGGGGGAGGCAGAAAGAGGCTCTGCTGCTCAGTGAAACTATCCAAGAGTCTGGAAACGCTAGGAATGGAAACCGGAAAATGCACTTTCCGAGGAGGCTCCCGATAATTTGGACAAAGCGGGTTTGGGCTGATTTGGGCCTCCATTCAGGAACAGCAGCCACCGCCACCGGGTTTGTGTGAAAAATGTCCTTGGGCGAGACGATGGATTTGCCCACACCAGAGCTGGGTCTCTCTTGGGGTCTGTCTCAGAACCAGGCCACATAATACTCCTGTAA